TCCCTTCCCTTATATTCATATGGGCTCTAATTAATTATAATGTGTCAGTATTGGTTCATTAACTGTGAGAACTATACCTACTAACATAAGATGTTACTAATAGGGAAAACTGGGCATGAGCTAATAGGAACTCTCTGTATTACTGATTTTTCTGTAAACCTAAAACTGTTCTAAAATAAAAAGATTTTAAAAATCAGTACCAGGAGGGCGGCAGCTGGTTGGTCTGTAGAGCATGTGACTCTTGATCTTAGAAGTGAGAGATCAAGCCCCACACTGGGCATGAAGCCTACTTTAAAAAGTAATAATGAAATATAAATAAATAAATATCACTACAAGGGAGCAAGTGGTAAGAAAGAATGTGATTGATTCATTCATTCAACAAACATTTCTTGAGTACCCGTTATGTGCTAGATACTGTATTGGAACTAGGGGGACAGCAATCAAAGAGAGATCAAAGAGAGAAACATCCCTGATCTTGAGAAACTTACGTAGGAATTATACTGGACCTTATAGAATGAATTTATGTCCCCTGTCACAGCTTTCCTTGCTCAGCGGGGAAGTCTCAGTGACATTCCAGTGGCCAATGTGACCTCTATTACATCTTGTTAAATAGGAGCACATGTGGCCAGTCCATAGTTTAGCAGAGAGAGATGAATAGAAAGAGAACTTACATTAGAAAGGTGGGTCCTGGGACAGCTGAAGGACAACTGAGAGCCAGCTGGCACAGTCAGTGTTTCCTAAGGCCTCCTAAATCCCAGAAAAATGGCATAGCCCTTGAAGCCAATATACACCCGGGGAACATTTGCCCAATCACAGAAAGTAGGCAGTGGAAAGTTCTTTCCAATCACTTGGTCTAATCCCCTTCACTTTATAGGAAAAGGAAACTGAATTCAGAAAAAGAAAGTGATTTTTAGTGGTCATAGGGCTATTTCTGAATCAACTTTTTTTTTCCTCCAAATTTTCGTTTAAATTCCAGTTAGTTAACATACAGTGTAATATTAGTTTCAGGTGTAGAATTTACTGTGAATCAACTCTTTGATTATTATTCCTCAGAAGCTGTAGATATTTATTACATTGCTAGAAGTCATCAAAGCCAAAAGGCTAGATGTACATACTTGTTTAGTATTAGACGCGAACAAAAAACAATAAGGAAAACTAGATCTAGAAAAATCATCCATGTGGTACAATAACACAGATGATGGGAGTTTTCAAGCTGATTGTGGTCTATAACCACATAGACCATGGGATGCTGCAGGACAGACGTACACTTCCCTAAAGGGAACAAATTCACTTTAAGGTCAGTGTAACTGACACAAAACCAAGTTACTATGTATTGCATTAGCTAAGTAAGTTTACAAGGGAAATAAGCCAGTATGGGGTGGGACAGAACTGATACTCCTTTTTTAAAGATAAAAATTAAAGATCAAAAACAAAAGTATAAAAACTTCCAGTTAACCCTAGATTCATACTTAGGTAAAAAGAGAGCAGAGAGGGGACCGGTAAATTAAGAGTTTATCCATATAGGTAATGAGCCAAATTTAATCAGATAAACATACTATTTTTGGGAAACTCTTTTGAGCTGTCAGCAGCATCCTGAAGCCTGAAGATGCCACCTAGGGTTTTAGTTTTTGAGGTTGCTCACTCCCTTAATAAGTCCAGCCCATTCTGCACAAAGTTAGAAATGTGAACATGGACAGCATACTTGGAAAAAATTACTTTTGAAATTGAGTTTTCAAATCTTCTGTTAAGGATTGTTTTTAAACAAACTTCAGGCCAGAAGATGCTTCCATGTTTCATCCAGGAAACACAGTAGGCATATTTTTGATGGAATTTTAATGAAAGGATACTGCAAAAAAGAATGAGAAATTAGGGCAGCCCTGCTGGCTCAGCGGTTTAGCGCCGCCTTCAGTCCAGGGTGTGATCCTGGAGACCCGGAATCAAGTCCCCCGCGTTGGGCTCCCTGCATGGAGCCTGCTTCTCCCTCTGCCTGTGTCTCTGCCTCTCTCTCTCTCTTTCATGAATAAATAAATAAAATCTTAGAAAAAAAAAAAGAACATAAGTTAAAAAAAAAAGAATGAGAAACTAAAATTATTAGCTTAACTCTAACATGTAGCTAAGTATTATGTACACTGGGCAGCACATTAGAATCACCGCGGAGCTTTAAAAAGTTCTAATACCCTGGTCCCATCCCAGACCAATTACATAGTATCTCTGGGGTGGGACTCAGGCTTCATTACTTTTTAAAGCCCCCCAGGCGATTCCATTGTGCAGCGCAGTTAGGAATCCACTGCTCTGCAGAAACTTAGTCTAAATATTGAGTATCAAATAGCCTTAACTGAAGCAGGGCAAACTAACCAGGCATCTCAGGAGTACAATAACTGGAAATGTCACCCAACCGAATATAAAACTGTAATTTCTAATAATTAGACTTTTTAAGTCACACATACCCAGATTTCTTTGGCTTTCCCTCTCCAGATATTCCCAACACCGAGAAAACTACCTCTTAAGCTCAGATATTTTCCCCTCCTTACACTTAGCGTGAGCATGCGGTACAATGTAAGTGAGAATGAGAAATCTCATCCTCACTCCTTCACTCTCTCTGGTTGGCCTTTCAAACCAGAAAATAAGCGAAGAATAACCTCTCTTAAATGTTTCAAAACAAAATGATTAAAATTGTATCTTTGGGTAAACAACTATGAAACTCAATGAGGTATTTCCTTTATTCTTTAATAGACTCAGGGCCAAACATGGAAATAGCTGCATAGTTTTGAGTCTGCCAAATGGTTCAGTGAAATTACATCACAGGAGGGTTGTGCCCTGGAGGAGTTCTGAATAGCATGTGCCCCTCTGGCCACTTGGGCATCTGCCTGCTGAGCTGAGGAGTGGTAGCTTTTTTCCAGGATGTGAACTCTCCCTCATTATGTAGCATCATGACAATCTGCCCAGCCTAACTGGGAGGAGATCATCCAATGCTGATTGAGGACACTCAATAAACAATAATGAAAAAGACAATTTTAATAATCCTGAAGGCTTGAAATTTCTCCCAAGAAAAATAGCAAAGGAGGTGGCTAGATTACTGGGTTTCTAAGAAAAGGGCAACTCTCTACCATGGAAGAGATTAAATCTTTAAAGCAGCCATCAAAATAAGAATTAAAAAAAAAAACCCAAACCTCCCAGCCAACAAATGTGATTTAATTAGTCCCTTTCTGGGATCTCTGGGTGGCTCAGTGGTTGAGCATCTGCCTTTGGCCCAGGGTGTGATCCTGGAGTCCCAGGATTGAGTCCCACATCGGGCTCCTGCATGGAGCCTGCTTCTCCCTCTGCCTGTGTCTCTGTCCCTCTCTCTCTCTCTCTGTGTGTCTCTCATGAATAAATAAAATCTTTTTAAAAAATTAGTCTCTTTCCCTCCAGAAGACATTCAAATAGTAAGGGGAATGAAATCAGCACTCCGCAGTTGCCTGGTGCAAATACTGACTCATTGCAGATGGAGAAAATAGTTGTAAAGCCACTACAATATTTGGTTTCCAGGTGGTGGTGGTGTTTCTTTCCTAAAACAAAATGTGTGAGAATACTACTAAGCAATAAAAAGGAAGAACACACGCATGCTACAACATGGATAGACCTCAAAACCCATTATGCTCAGTAAAAGAAGCCATATTATTCCATTTATATAAAATGCCCACGGGGCACCTGGGTGGCTCAGTTGGTTAAGCAGCTGCCTTCCACTCAGTTCATGATCCCAAGGCTCTGGGTTTGAGCCCCACATCAGGCTCCCTCTAGCCTTCCCCTTGCTTGTTCTCTCTCAAAGAAATAAATAAAAATCATTTAAAAATACAGAAAATGTCCATAAAGGCAAATGTGTAGACAGGAAGCAAATCAGTGTTGCTTAGGGCTGAGGGTGGGGAAAGGGAATTGACTGTTAATGATGAGAAGGGATCCTTTTAGGAGAAATGGAAATGTTCTAAAACTGGATGGTGGAAATGGTTGCACAACTCTCTAAACTCGCGGGAAAACATGCCTTTTAAATTGAAAAGGGATGGATTTTACGGTATATACATTATTGGTTATTCTTTGGACCAAAGTAAAACGCTACTCTTTGGATTAAATAAAGCTGTTTGGAAACAAACAAACAAACCAAAACGGTATCTTGCCGCCTCCCCTGGGTCTGGAGGTGGTTCCTAGACTGCCCGGGAGGTCACTTGTCTGCACAGTCCCTGTGAATTCCGCTTTCTCCCATCTCCACCTGTTGAAGTTACCAGGACGAGCGAGGCCGCAGGACCAAATCTGAGGCTCCGCGCAGTCACCACAGACCACAGGCCTGGGAACCCGGAGAGGCAGCGCCGCAGGAGTCCTCGGCCCGGGGCGGACAGGGCCAGCGCGGCGAGCTCACCCGTTAGGCAACGGAGCCCCGCCGGGGGGGGGGGGGGGGGGGGGGAGCCGATCCCAGCAGAAACCAAGTCGGAAGGCTGGTCCCAGAGGCCGAAAGAACGGCCAATCAGGTGACGGGGTCTCTAAAGACACGGGGCACGCGTCTGCCAAACCCAGGGTGCTTTCACCGCAGGAGGGGGAACTGCGTTCCCACGGGGGCTCGAAGGTGGGGACTTCGCTCCCGAGGCCGCGTGGACCCGGCAGGTCTCCCGGGGCGCACGACCCTCTGCGCGGCCGGCGGCCCGCGCCAGCGCGGAGCCCGGGTCCCCCGACGGCCGCAGCTTCAGGGTCGGGAGCCGCGTGTGCGCCCGGGCCCCGCACCCGGTGAGGCTGGCCGCGCCGCTCCCCGCTGCTGCGACACCCGGCCGCCGCCGGGACGCCCCGCCCCTCCTCGCCGCCCCGCCCCGCCCCGCCCCCTCCTCGCCGCCCCGCCCCGCCCCTCCTCGCCGCCCCGCCCCCTCCCCGCGCGGAGCTCGTGCGCGCGGCGCCGCCTTTATAGCCGCGGCGGGGGCCGCGCTCTCCGCACTCGGGCGCAGCCGGGCGGAGCCGCCGACTCAGGTGCGCGGCCCTGGGCGTCCCGCTGCCTGCCCGAGGCTCTGCTCTGTCGTTCCAGCGGCTCTCGGCCGCGATCCGCTCCCCTGTCCCGGGCCGCGGTTGCACACCGATGCCGCGTGTGGCTCGACGTGCAGCCGGAGCGTCGCCTTCAGAGAGGCGCCCTCTCCCGGGCAGCGGCCTCCGAGGTCGCCTCTCCCGTCCGCCGCCCTGGGCTTCCGAGGGGGGCGGGGCCCCCAGGGGGAGGGCGAGCGCGGGGCGGCGGGGACGAGGGGCGCGCCGCGGGTCCCAGGAGCCTCCCTCGCATCCTCCGTGTCCCCCAGGCCCTCGCAGCCCCTCGACCATGTCGGCAGCCCGGATCCCGGTCCTCGGCCTCGGTGGGTACGCGCCCCTCCCGACCCGCTCCCGTCGCGCCGAGCGGGGTGGGGGCCGCAGCCAGCCCTCGCCTGTCCTCTCTCGCAGGGGTGTGTCTGCTGCTGCTGCTGCCGCTGCCGGAGCCTGCGGGCAGCGACGGAGCCGGTGAGTCGCGGGCTCCCGGGTCGGGCCGGCAGGGCTGGGTCCAAGCGGTGGGAGGGGCTGGGGGCGGCGGGCAGGAGCGCGCCCACGCCGAGCCCCTGGACCTTGGCGGCGGGGACCGCACCGGAGGGCGCCCCGCTCGGAGCCGCTGCCCGGCGCACACCCCGCCGTACCCGCAGCGCGTCTACGCCAGCTTGCCCCGGTCCCGCACGCGAGGGGGCCCCGGCATCCGATGGGGACGATCTTCCCAAGACGCGGAGGAGGAAGCGTCCCCGAATCCACGGTCACATCGCGGGAGGCACCTGGCACGCCGAGCATCGGCATCCAGATCAAGGCAGGGGAGTATTCTTGGGCCCACCGAGGGGCACACTAGCCCCTGGCTGTCCGCGGTGTCAGGGAGAAGCCCCCCGGAGCCGACTTCGGACCGACAGATTCGGAGCAGAGATAAGCGGGTTCAATTCGGATAGAAAGGCTTCACTTCGAAGAGACTAACGTCCTTGTTTCCTGTCCTGCAGGAGTTGGGCTGTGCGACCTGGGGCAAATTAACCCCAGGGTTTTAATTTATGCACCTGTAAAAGGGGTGCTTGAGCTACATGACCTTTTTTGTTTGTTTGTTTGTTTACATGACATTCTGTAAAGTGAAACATCTTTTTACTGGCTTCCTTAAATTAAGATATAATTTTAAGGCCCTGCATTTAGAGGAAAACTGGTATAAATGGTCCTCCAAAAGCAAAGGATGGGACCTTGAAAGTTTCGTGCGTGTCTATGAAAATGTTTTTCATTGGGGCACCTGTGTGGCTCAGTCAGTTAAATGTCCAACTCTTGATCTCAGCTCAGGTCTTCTTTTTGTTTTTTGTTTTTTTTAAATTTTATTTTATTCATGAGAGACACACAGAGAGAGGCAGAGACATAGACAAAGGGAGGCAGATGTTCAACTACTGAGCCACCCAGGTGTCCCTCAGCTCAGATCTTGATCTCAGGATGGTGAGTTCAAACCCTGCTTTGGGCTGCATGCCCAGTGTGGAGCGTACTTAAAAAAGAAAAAAAAAATGGAAAATGTTCCTCACAGGCTCAGCTCAGATTTAATATCTTTACCTTAGGCAACTGTGTCCAGTTTTTTTTTTTTCCAAATCCATTTATTAGTTCTTACTGTGCTGACAGCTGGCATCATTAATACTTTAACAAAACCACTTAAAATTAGCCAAATATCTAAGATAGTTACAGGTACAAAAGATATACAAGTTAAAACCATTTAAAAAGTAATATACCATAATCTGTATTTGACCATAACTCTATTGAGAAATGATTGTAAAATTAAAATCTTACAAAAACTGTACACCATATACGTTGAGTGATTTACATCTTAGAAAATAAAGGCAGTCTTTCATTGTTACACATTTAGTGTCTCTGGTGGTTTGAGGAGAGAAACACCATGATACTTTGAACTTTTATGCTTTTCTCTTATTGACCGTTGTGCATGCTGTGGTGCTCTGAGGTAGGTCTGGTGAAGGTCCATGAGACAAGGCTCATTATTACAATTGAGATTTTGTATTTCTAGAATGAATTAATAAATGGTGAATGACTAATATCATTTTCTAGTTCTATTTCTAATTATGTATTCCCAAACTGTTAAGAACTGAGAAAATTCTTCCAATAGGCTTTGTAGTGGTTGAGGACTAGATTAAATTGGACAACTGGTTTTTGGGTAGCTAAAATTTGGAATGGTGTGGAACCATACATACCTTAATATTCTTAAGAGGAAGTGTAGAAATTAGTAGGGAGATAAACCCCCAGTTCCCATCCCACTTTCCTCCCCTCAAAATCCTAAGAATGTCATTACATGCCTTCCTTTCTCTTCAGTTCCCATTCCTATCACATGCTTTACCCGAGGACTTGACATCAGGAAAGAGAAAGCAGATGTCCTTTGCCCAGGAGGCTGCTCTCTTGAGGAATTCTCTGTGTTTGGGAACATAGTGTATGCGTCTGTATCAAGCATATGTGGAGCAGCTGTCCACAGGTAAGCTGAAACATGCCAAAGAGGGAGAAATCCAAGTGTGATGATATCCTTTCCCTTTTTAGCCAAATGGACCTCCTCAGCTTCTTTCTTTTGATTCCAATATTGGCCATAGAACATAGATACATTTTTAAGGTTTTCGTGGGTATCCTTGAAGCACCGGCTATACAAAGGAAGCTTTCTGACTAAAGGCAAATTTTATGACTTCTTGATAGCTAGATCCATGTGATTTTAGAAATTCCTAATCATGCAATATATTAGTGTTTTTACTGTGTGCTGGACATTGTTTTAACTTCCATGACAACCCTACCATTGTACAGAGTAGGTACAATTTTATTCAATTTTATAGTTGAGGAAACTGAACTCAGGAGTGTTGACAACTATCTTGCCGCTGTTAGCGAGTGCCAGAGCTGGAACTGAAAGCCCAGGTGTGCTTCCAGAGCCCATATTCATCACCCACTCTGCTATCTTGCAAGACTTTTTTTTTTCTTCCAAAGATTTATTCATGAGAGACACACAGAGAGAGGCAGAGATACAGGCAGAGGAAGATGTAGACTCCCGGTGAGGAGCCTGATGTGGGACTTGATCCCAGGACCCCGGGATCAGGACCTGAGCCAAAGGCAGACACTCAACCACTGAGCCACCCAGGCGCCCAAGACTTTTATTTAAAATGAAGTCCAAGGACATAAAAGTACCTTAGAAAACTAAGAAAATTATTTGGTGCTATTAACTCTGAATCTCTGAGCTGTAGGGAACAGGATCCTACAGGTATGTTCCTATCAACATTTAAGAAGTTTGACAGCACAAAACTATTTTTCCCAGGCAGGTTTTGTACCTGTGCAAGCAAGTTTTTAAAAAGGCTGGCAGCATCCTTATATATCTTCCCTGATGAACTATTTTCTTGATTAATCAGAACATGGTTCTGTAAGTCAGTCAGGTACTCCTGAAAAAGCGTGGGTACACTATCAGTTGTTTTTCTGTGTTGCAGGGGAGTAATCAGCAACTCAGGGGGACCTGTGCGAATATACAGCCTACCAGGTCGAGAAAACTATTCCTCAGTAGTTGCCAATGGCATTCAGTCTCAGACACTTTCCAGATGGTCTGCTTCTTTCACAGTGACAAGTAGGTACAATTATATTATTCTTACTTTTGTGTAAATATTGCCTCACCACCCTCCAAAAAAAAAGTTTTATGCTTTTCTTAATCCAACCTCTTAGACTCTGATGGAAAAGCCTGCAATCAAGACTCAAAGGAATCAACTAAAGGTTACAGTCAGGGGACTGGACAGGCAAAGACTCAGTCAGTTAAGCATCTGACTCTTAATTTTAGCTCCAGTCCTGGTCTCAGGATCCTGAGTTCAAGCCCCATGTTGGGCTCCATGCTGGGTGTGGAGCCTACTTTAAAAAAGAAAGAAAGAAAAACAAACAAACTTGCATTGTCTGTAATCAGAATTCCCTGACTTTTACCACGTAACACTGAATCAAAAAACTGGTGAATGAAAATGAATGTGAATTCATTTTTGGTGATCCTTTTAAGATCTGATTTAATACATAAGAACCCATTTTGGTTCTTTGAAACGAGCATGAAGCAAGTACTCATGCAATTGCCATCACTCAATTATATTTATCATCGATTACATTTATCATCCTAGAGACCCCTAAATTAGATTCATTATGCTTTGATGGTAAAGAAAGAAGAGGAAAAAAATAGTCTTTTCTTTATTTTAACAGAAGGAAAAAGTGGTACCCAGGAAGCCACAGGACAAGCCGTGTCCACAGCACGTCCACCAACAGGTATGAAATATGGAAGTTATCTCCTTGCCATCTGGCACAGCATTTGGAAATTACAAATAAATTTATTGATAGCTTTCAAAAGGAAACTGATGTTATACACAAAACAGGGGTGCCTGGGTGGCTCAGTCAGCTAAGCATCTGACCTCATCTCAAGGTTCCCCCACCCCCCCCCACCCGCGTTGAGTTTGCACTCAGCAGAAAGCCTGCTTCTTCCTCTCCCTCTGCCCCTCCCCTGCTCATGTTCTCTCTCTCTCTCTTTCGCTTTCTCAAATAAGATTTTATTTATTTATTGAGAGAGAGAGAGAGAGAAGGAAGCAGACTCCCTGCTGAGCAGAGAGCCCAACATGCGGCTTGATCTGAGGATCTCCAGATCACGACCTGAGCCAAAGGCAGAGGTTTAAGTGACTGAACCACCCAGGTGCCCTCAAATAAAATCTTTAAAAAAAATTTTAAAGCCGACAAAACAAATATCTTAAGTTTACTAGTGTATTACATAGAGAAACATTTTATATTTCAAATTCCTTTCCTTTTTATATTTTCAGTTACAAACTCTGCTCCCAGACATTCTCTTGAAGTGCTATTTCTGTCTGAGTAGATAAATCCCATGCCTAGAAACTGAACAAAGTAAAACTGGAACCTCCTAGTTGCCATATGAAAAAAAGTAATTAGTGTGTGTCCATTTTAACATATAGCCAGGGATCTCCTTTACTAAGATTGTGGCAGTTTTAAAGTCAAATAAATTAGGAACATTAGAATCTAACTCTAGTTTCCAGTCCTGCCTCAACTGTGGGTTTGAGATGTGGACTTGGATAATCCACCAAGTCCTGGATTAGTGGCATATCAAATATATAGGCCTACAACAGTTCTGACTTGTTTCTTTGCTGGGACATTGCTTCCCCATCCAGAAAATTGTGAGAAAAAAATGTTTTTAGGAAATAAATTTTTTAAAAACAAGTATTTTAAAGAATGATACTCCTTTGTCATTAGCTTTTCCCCATGTGGACTTCTTGCTATGAAACTGTCTTCCTTTTACTAATGCCAAGGGCTTCCTTTGTTTCAGGTAAACGACTGAAGAAAACACCTGAGAAGAAAACTGGCAATAAAGGTAAGAGTCCATATATCCATTGAGGAAAATAACATTCTCTCCCCTTTCCTCCCTCCTCTTGTAACTGCTAACAAAAAAACTTGTTTGGGTATTTACAGACTGTAAAGCAGACATTGCATTTCTGATTGATGGAAGTTTCAATATTGGGCAGCGCCGATTTAATCTACAGAAGAATTTTGTTGGCAAAGTGGCTCTAATGTTGGGAATTGGAACAGAAGGACCACATGTGGGCCTTGTTCAAGCCAGGTACCAATCTTATTTAAAGTGGGTGGAGACTTGATGATAAATGATCAATCCTTTTAGTGGATACATGCATTTTAGTTCAATTAACACATTGACATAGTTCAATTAACAACTGAGTTGTGGACAGTCTGAGTTCCCATACTATAAATAAAGGATTTAAGATTGCCTAAGCAGACTAGGTAAGTCTAAGTCCTTCCTTTCTGGAATAAAAAGATTGAGAATTATATGCTATTTGAGGACCAGAAGGTAGACTAAAAGGTTTTGTTGCTCATACTAATTACCTCTGTACATACACTCTGCTCAATTCCCAATTCCTTTTTGCCAAAAAAAGTAATAGGTCTATTCCTCCTCCCTATTCTGTCATTCTTTTAGACATTTCCCATAGTTCCTTGGAGATCTGAAGCTCAACCTCTTAAATTTTATTCATTTAAAAATAATGCTGATGGCTTTTAGGATTATAATATGCTCACTCTAGAAAGCTTGAAAAACATGTAGAGCACAAGAAAGAAAACCAATTTCCCAAATATGCCCCTCAGAGATAATCACTATAAAATATTTTATGACCCCCTTTATTTTAAAAAATATTCACTTATTTGAGAGAGAGAGAGAGAATGACTGGAGAGAAGGGTGTAGGGAGAGGGAGAAGCAGACTCCCCACTAAGCAGGGAGACTGACATGGGGCTCAATTCCAAGACCCTAGGATCATGACTTGAGCTGAAGGCAGACTCTTAAGCCACTGATTAATCTTTTGTACCTGTGTGTATAATTGAAGTATAGTTGACGCCCAATGTTACATTAGATTCAGGTGTACAGCATAGTGATTCAACATTTCTATATGTTACTCTATGCTTACTGTAAGTGTAGCTACCATTTGTCTCCATAGGATGCTATTACATGCAAATGACTACATTCTTTATGCTGTATATTTTATTTCACAGCTGGAAACCTGCAACTCCCACTCTTCCTCACCCATTTTGCCTATCCCCTACCCTTCTACATGTGTATTGCTTTTTCAAAAGCTCCAACTAAAAAAATATCTCATGTCCTATTTTTTCATCCCTTAGTATTTTGAGCATTTTACCAGATGACAACTACTTTTCAAAAAATGATGTTTGGGGTGCCTGGGTGTCTCAGTCAGTTAAGCATCTGACTCTTGATTTCAGCTCAGGTCATGATCTCAGGGTTGTGAGATCCAGCCCCATGTGGGCCCCGTGCTGGGTGTGGAGCCTACTTAAGATTCTCTCTCTCCCTGTCCCACCTCCCCTACCCAACTACTCACCCCTGCTCATGCACACACTCTTAAAAAAAAGTTTTATAATGTTCCTTTGCATGATTATTTGCTTAACCATTGTTTTTTTAACCATTACGTATTACATTGTGATTAACATCCTTATGTCATCCTTGTGCCATCTTTGATTAGTTCATTAGACTAGATTCCTAAAAGTGAGATTTGTATCAAAAGGTTCTGACATTTTTAAGACTTCTGATACAAAGTTAAATTGCTTTCTAGAAAGCTGATCCAGTTTAAACTGCTATCAGCAGTGTGTGAGTGTAACACCAGTACAACAAATATTAATGTCTATTTCATTTGTTATTTTTTACAACTGGTTCTTAATTTAGATAAATTTTTTTGGTATGAGAATTTAACTTTGTTTTCTACATAATTTAACCATTTTCCCACACCTTTAAAACAAATGAGCTTCTTATTCCATTGATTTATCAATTTTATTTTATTTTATTTTTTTGATTTATCAATTTTATATACAAGTTTAGGCAAGTCAGTTTCCTTGATCTATAAGCCAATTTTACATATTTTCTACAATGCTTTGATAATTGTAGCTTTAGTGTTCATTTTAACATCCCAGGGGGCAAATTCCCCTCAGTACCTTTCTTCTTAATTTTTTTCCCTTGCACTTTGTATCCAATTCTTTTTCAAAACGAAAGCTACACTATCTTGTAGTCTCAAAGACAAGCTTCTCTATAAACTTCTTGGCTTATAGTTTTCATATTTTAGGAAGAACACCAAAATAAACTATATCAAGAGTTTATATTTAGGCAGAAAAACAGAACATATCATTAAGGATGCAAAAACAAGACTAAATCTCATCCACAATTTAGATAGTTGAAAAGTGACCATTAAAATGAAAAGGTTGGGCAGCCTCAGTGGCGCCAGCAGTTTAGCACCACCTGCAGCCCAGGGCGTGATCCTGGAGACCCTTGATCAAGTCCCACATTGGGCTCTCTGCATGGGGCCTGCTTCTCCCTCTGCCTCTCATTCTCTCTCTGTGTTTCTATGAATAAATAAATGAAATCTTTAAAAAAAATAAAAAAATAAAAATAAAATGAAAAGGTTATCAACCCATAATATCTGATTTTGTGACCTAGCATTCCACCAGATATACAGAAATACAACCAGTGCTATACTTGTCCCTCAAAATTCTTGACTTAGTGGCAACTGATAATACTGAGATCTTAAAATGTTGCACTTAATGAAATACTGACTTATCTAAAAACTAAAAACTAAACAACAAATGGTGCTTTAACTGTTTTTACTCAGCATGGTCTCTAAGGAACAGAGCAGTGATAAAAATGAGCTGAAATCCTTTTACTATTAAATATGGAAAATCCCTGGGGCACCTGGGTAGCTCAGTGGTTGAGCATCTGCCTTTGGCTCTGGTCGTGATCCTGGGGTCCTGGAATCGAGTCCCACATCAGGCTCCCCTGCTTCTCTCTGTGCCTCTCTCTCTGTGTCTCTGATGACTAAATAAAATCCAAAATAAAGTCCCAGATCTTATAATATACATTAGGATGTCAATATCATTATAACAGAAATATTGTAATACTTCACAATTTTCTTGTACCTTCTCAGTTTTAAAATGTTAATCCCAGTGTCCTTGACATTGCCTCTCTTCTGACCAGAAACCTGATTATTTTATAGACAGACACTGTTGAGTACTTCCAGAGTCTCGCACTGGAACAGACCTAGCCTCACACCCAGCCTCCTTCCAACTCTCTGCTGCCCAACTCTGCAGATTTCCATGAAGTGGTGCTCTGGGCCAGGCCTATTTTCAGGGGCACCATATAGTTTAGGCATGGACTCTGGAACCAGACAAACCTGAATATGAAGTGCAGCTATGTTTTGTTGGACAAGTTACCTAAATATTCTGAGCCTCAGTTTCGTCATTTATGTAGTAAGGATAATAGTTTCTGCCTTGTGAAGTTATAATGAAATGATATATGTAATATGTATTTAGCATATTACCCAGAATAAAATAAACCAAGGTAGCAAAGGTTTTTGGTACATTTCTGCAAGAGGCCTTAAAATTCAAATGAGGAGGCAATACCTTAATTGACTGTATACTACAGAATTAAGAAAGAAACTTAGGCATTGTCTGATTTAAAGACTTTTTTTCTAAGGTATATAATGTTGCTTGTTTTACCTTTCCAGTTCTCCCTAGGTAACATTTTTTCATTTTTCCACTTAGTGAACATCCCAAAATAGAATTTTACTTGAAAAACTTTACATCACCCAAAGATGTTTTGTTTGCCATAAAGGAAGTGGGTTTCAGAGGGGGTAATTCCAATACAGGTAAGTAGACTTTGGCATCTGGGATGTAATAGAGGAGAGGATTATGAGTGATCATACATGCAGAACAGCATTAGGCTATTTTATATAAGCAGATGTGAAACTCTTCCTCCTGACACTGAAATCTTGACTAGGTTTGTACTTGATCATCTAAGATACTCAATTTATAATGGAAAATATACCAAAGTGCTCATTAATAGTGCTGTTTAAAACACAAAAAAAGAATTGTGCTTTATTATCCTTATATTGGGTAGGACAGATAGCCGCTTTAGAGAAGGCCCTGTTCAGCATGTTAAAAAGAAGCAAAGATCAACAGACTGATTTAACAAATGCAGAAAGAGCTAGAGTAGCACTATAGACCCTCTGAAGGGACATTTCTTGTTCTGAGTCTTTAGTGGTACTAGTCAGTCACTAAGGGGATAGATAGCAAAAGTACAGTAGTGGGAGTCAGTTGTGTTTCTGACTGATGATTGATGTATGGTAAGGAAACATAAGGCTTCTGGGAGGTGATGGGGGAAGTAATGTGGGTTGTGAAGCCAAGAAAAAAAAAAAAAGCCTGATGGATAAACTTTCCCATCTATTAGAGAACTAAGTTCTATGTAAGTTAAATTCTTAAACTTTTGGTAGCTTCAAGTTGGTACGGGGAAATAGAGATATCATTTGAGCAGTGGTGCTGTTCCAGCTTACTTCTTTTTCAAACCTAGGAAAAGCCTTGAAGCATACTGCCCAGAAATTCTTCACAGCCGACACTGGAGTAAGAAGAGGGATCCCCAAAGTGGTGGTGGTATTTATTGATGGCTGGCCTTCTGATGACATTGAGGAAGCAGGCATCGTGGCCAGAGAATTCGGTGTCAATGTATTTATAGTTTCTGTGGCCAAGCCTATCCCTGAGGAGCTGGGGATGGTTCAGGATGTTGCATTTATTGACAAGGTAAGGAGGTGAAGGTGTCTTATGTTACAGTAGTGATTTAGTTTTGGGCCTCAAGGCATAGTGCTGACTGGCCCTTACCTGGATTAACTTTGAACAGTCAAGATAGAAACATTTAAAAAAAAACTATAAAAACATTCTATAGGGGGATCCCTGGGTGGCGCAGTGGTTTGGCACCTGCCTTTGGCCCAGGGCGCGATCCTGGAGACCCGGGATCGAATCCCACGTCGGGCTCATGGTGCATGGAGCCTGCTTCTCCCTCTGCCTATGTCTCTGCCTCTCTCTCTCTCACTGTGTGCCTATCATAAATAAATAAAAATTAAAAAAAAAAACATTCTATAATTTTTAAGAAGAAATAATTTTATGTCTCACCCATAGGCTGTCTGTCGGAATAATGGCTTCTTCTCTTACCACATGCCTAATTGGTTTGGCACCACAAAATATGTAAAGCCTCTGGTACAGAAACTCTGCAGTCATGAGCAAATGATGTGCAGCAAGACCTGTTACAACTCAGTGAACATTGCCTTTCTAATTGATGGCTCTAGCAGTGTTGGAGACAGTAATTTTCGCCTCATGCTTGAATTTGTTTCCAACATAGCCAAGACTTTTGAAATCTCAGACATTGGTGCCAAGATAGCTGCTGTACAGTTCACCTATGATCAGCGCACAGAATTCAGTTTCACTGATTATAGCACCAAAGAGAATGTCCTAGCTGTTATCAGAAACATTCGCTACATGAGTGGTGGAACAGCTACAGGTGATGCCATCTCCTTCACGGTTAGAAATGTGTTTGGTCCCGTGAGGGATAGCCCCAACAAGAACTTCCTGGTAATTGTCACAGATGGACAGTCCTATGATGATGTTCGAGGTCCTGCTGCTGCTGCACATGATGCAGGTAAGGTTCTTGTCCTTTGGGTAGGGAATGGAGGGGTTCTGTAAGTTTTGTAAATATAAACTTAGGCATTTATTTTATTGAACAAACACATTATGGTATTGTTCAAAGAGCTTTACCCAGTATTAGCTGACTTAATTGTCAAACCAGCCCTATGAATCTCATTATATGGACAAAGAAACATATTTCCTCAAAATCACATAGCTAGCAAGTGGTGAGGCCAGTATTCAAACCCAGGCAGTCTGTATTATTGGGAGAATTGCCATGAGAATCATGTCATATGTCAAGGAAACATGTTACAAGTGCTTATGTTTGGCTCAAACTTGGAATATGTCCCCCCCAAAATCACAGTTTATCATAATTTACCATGAATCTATTTGATAATTAATCCTTTTTTTAGTAGTTTTGAGTCTGGCATGAATTTTCTTAGATGATAAGGTCACCAGTAGACTTTAATTCTATTCCATCTAAATTTCCTTTTTACTTTTTCTTCTTGCGATAATAAAAACACACTCTGCTGTTGTAAAAGGGTATAAAGAGGTCTTCTTTCTCCCTTACCCCAACCTTAATATTACTTTTGGCAAAGCCCACTTGTTCCTGAAAATATTAGCATAATGTGTTGCTGAGATCAAATAGGGCAACAAAAAGCTAGCATTCCCTTTCCGGGGATGAAACTGAGTGATTGCAGTCCAGTAATACCTAAAAAGCAAAACGCTAACTTGGGAGAGGGGAATTAGCAACCTTGCATTTTTCTATACTCCTACATACGTTCTTTTCCCTATTTAGTTCCCAATGACTTCACCTTTTTCCTTTGATACTTATTAGCACGTTTTAATGCACTTATGTACTTCTTTTTTTCAATTATGTACTTTTATATTGGTGGAATACTGTCATTTAGTGGGTAGAGAACTGTTACATGCCATTTAAGACATCAGCAGCTAATCCAGATCAAAGACCTGTTTGCTATCATTCTTAAAAATGTAGCTTACAGGAGCACCTGGGTAGCTCAGTCGGTTAAGTCTGCAACTCTTGTTTTCGGCTCAGGTCATGATCTCAGTTATAGGACCAAGCCCCACAAGGGGCTGCGCGTTCCATGGGGAGTCTGCTTGAGGGTTTTTCTCCCTCTGCCCTTCTCTCCATTTGTGCATACACTGTGTCACTCGCTCTTGTAAATTCTTAAAAATATAATTACTTAACTAATTTATGGTTAGCAGGCTTAGATTTACACTGAATTAAATGAACTAGATTAACTCAAATATATCTTCCCTATGTAATTAGTTGAACTTCAGAGGGTTGGGGCACACCATTTTCATGAAAATTATCCTTTAGTGATCATGAGGTCAAAGTTAACAAAAGCCAGAATACAAGATAGGCTTACAGAGCTAGGCCCTAACTTTTTTTTTTTAAAGTTAATGAGCTAATGATTCTGAGCTTGAATTCAATCTACAAGTAAGGAAAACTGTGGGGAGAACTTTACTTCTGTTAGGGTAGAGGAGTATTGACTGGGGGTGATAAACCAGAAATTGTTTCAAGGAGCTTTTATATAAACTAAACCTGATTTATATCTTAAATATTCACAACTCTGAGCACTGAATACCACTAGAAGGGGGGTGAAGTCTTAAATAGAAGAGAAACACTCTATAGGGAATTTCACCCAAAAGAAAAGATGGTAGGGTACATGAAGAATCTGCTAAAAAAACTACCACACTTGGGATGACAAACCAATGCTTGTTATCACCCTAACCAAATCGTAGTCGAGTAAAAGCCTTCTTTCTATATAGCACATGGGAACGCAGATGTTATGCCTCAGTGTGTAACTAGGATAAATTATTCCAGCTTCACCTTTCTCTTTGACTGCTTTTATCACTAGATTTTTGCTTTGGGATTAGGGGTTAGACACTGACTGACTACTGGCAAATTTGCCAATGTAACCTACACATCCAAATGGAAGGTTCTCATTATTCACCGAAGCCTAGTTGCCATCCCTGACAATGCAATAGCCTTAGAAAACTTCCATTTATGTATCCCAAATTTTGTGCCATTCTTTCATGCAGTTACATTGTCTATAACTCCAGTAAAATGATTAACTGGAGTGAGGACAGGTAGCCCATTCTCAGGCCAATCTAAGGAAGTTTTCACCATTTCACTAAGAATGTTATTGTAGTTTATTTAGGAGACACAGAGAGAGGCAGACACAGGCAGAGGGAGAAGCAGGCTCCCTCTGGGGAGCCCAATGCGGGACTCTATCCCAGGACCCTGGGATCATGACCTGAGCCAAAGGTAGACACTCAACTACTGAGTCACCCAGGTGCCCCTATTGTAGTTTTAATTTTTTTAAAAATTTTATTTATTCATGAGAGGCTTCCTTCCTTCCATGAAGGAAGCCCGACGTGGGACTCGATCCTGGGTCTCCAGGATCACACCCTGGGCTGCAGATGGCGCTAAGCCGCTGAGCCACCCGGGCTGCCCATGTAGTTATTTATTATTTTATTATTATTTTTTTGTAGGTTTTTTTTTTTTAAAGATGTTTTTCAGGGTATCAAAAATTTGCCAGTGATCATGTGATTCATCTGTTAATATGGTAAATTATACTGGTGGCAAAGCTTGTTTTTGACCCAACTGCTTAGCCATTCTCATCTCAATGACTGTTAAAGCCTACCTAACCACTTGGTGGAGATTGTTTTTTGGACATTACAGAGTTTCCTCTACCATTATGAACTAATTCATGAAAAATATTTACACCTGATTTTATATATAAGCTGGAACTTGATTTTACTTCACTTAAAAATATTTTCATTGTAGGTATCACCATCTTCTCTGTTGGTGTGGCTTGGGCACCTTTGGATGACCTGAAAGATATGGCCTCTAAACCAAAGGAGTCACATGCTTTCTTCACAAGGGAATTCACAGGATTAGAACCAATTGTTTCTGATGTCATCAGAGGCATTTGTAGAGATTTCTTGGAATCCCAGCAATAATGGTGACAATTTGGCAACTGAAAGAAAAAGTGCAAGAAGATAGAAAATGTCATTTTCTCATAATACCAAAATACTATATAGCATACTAGGATCAGATGCAAAACTCTTATATTAAAAATGCCAACAGCTATTTCAAGCAAATAAGCATTCATTTAAAGCTACAACCTTCTGACAATTTAGAATTGTTAAACACTGCCAAGGCTTCATAATCATGACCCTTAGAAACTCAGGAAAGAGGAGATATCATGCATCTAAATCTTAATAATTCTAAAATGCAAATTAAATGTAGAGATGCAAATTCCATAGTTCAATAAGACTATGATGCTCAGAACAAAAGCAACATTCCTTCTCTAATCATTCTGTATTAAATAAGAAAAATTAAATAGTTCTTTAATTCAGTTTAAATGTTAAGTATTTTGCCCCAATAGATGTCTTAAAACATTGTTACTTAATATATTAAAGTTATAATTATGAAGTGGAAGGGAATTAAGAATCATTTCCTTTGTAGTGTATTTTCATAGTAGCATAACATATATCACACTGAACAAGATAACAGGAATGCTTGGTATTTTTCTATTTATAGCCTTAATTTTATATGTGTATAGATATATTTGGCTTATACTCTAAAAGTCATCCATGTGCTGAAAAGAAAGCTAAGTTGGTAAATTTTTACTTACTACTTGTAAACATCTGGCTCTGAGGAAAAACATTAAAGGTAGAACTGCAGGAAAAAATATTATAGTCTGACTTATTTAAGCAATAAAACTGTTAGTGACTATTATTCTAAGCTGCTTTACTTTTATTATTCCAAGTATCTATTGCTGGGACATGTGAAAAATCCTGTATTCACTATTTAATGCAGAAAGACCAATTCTGAAATTTTTCTTAAATTTATTCAATTACTTATTGAATGTGTACTGTTCTAGGCATTCTACACAGCCACGACTAAGTTAGACAGCAGGAGATGCTTTTGGTTAGTTCAACAAAAATGTTCTTTAATTAATATTATTTAACATTATTAAATATGCTTGTTGGTTCTTGAAAAGTGAACTCCCTTAATATAACTATTGTTACCTCACCAAGAGCTCTCCCTTCAGAGAGAGAGAAGAGGTATTGTCATCCCATCTGGCTTATCTTCTCTACAGAGAGGACCTTTCCTCTCCCACATCCACCTGTGCACACTATCTCCCTTCACATATACATTGATCCTATCTGAAACAATTTACAAGTTGATCTTAAAAAGGTGTTAACCGATTTAGAATTAACACGTGTACTCCACTGAATTTTTTTTAAAAGATTTTATTTATTTATTAATGAGTGACCAGAGAGAGAGAGGTAGACACAGGGAGAGGGAAAAGCAGGCTCCATGCAGGGAGTCAAACGTGAGACTTAATCCCCGGTCTCCAGGATCCCGCCCTGGGCTGAAGGCAGTACTAAACCACTGAACCACCCGGGCTGCCCTCCATTAAATCTTTTGAGTCTAACAATTTTACAGGCTGTGTAAAACAAATGGAAGGGCCATATATTGGAAAGGCCGAAATGGTCTTTAACACAACATATAAATTTGACAAAATGGGGTATGGGAAGACAATAAACTGGGGCCCAAATATGAATGATTCATGTCACAAGAAGAATTTTCAGTAAGCAAAAATGGGTTTAACGTTTTCCTTCAATAAACAGATCACAAATTCTTAGCGGAGAATGCCACTCCCTGAAAAATTAGTTCAAGCTTAATTAAGGAAATTTTAATTAATGAAAAACTAAGCTTAAATGAAAACCCAGCCTCCAAACATCAAAAGCATTTTTAAAGGAGGTAATTTCATAAAGGACAAAGTCCTGAGGCATCTGAGGAACCAGGGAGACTAACACTCTGATTGACTTAAAGAGCACTAGGAGCAGAAACGACCACTTTATTAAGTTACCATCAATTATTTTGTGTAAGTAAATAAGATAAAGTGTTACCAAAAATGAATAAAAGAGGATTTTTCAAAAGATGTATTTGCATTACAATCCAACTTTAGCAGGCATGCCTAAATTTCAAATATGCTAGGTTATTTATAACACTTAAGGTGTTAAATGAGATGCTCGTTAGTGGTAACTTAAATTGATATGTGAGAAGAGTACATGAAAATAAAGTATGAAAAAGGCAGAATGATTAAATATTGAGAAAGTCATATTAAAGTTTGTATATAAAAATATTCTTAAACTTTACAAACTACCATTTCATAATTAAACGAATCTACATAATTCCTCATTAAGTCACAAATGGGAGCATGCAAAACGAGACTTGGTTATTGCATCCTGTAGTCTCTTCCAAATGCTTAATAGAGAAAAATACAACCAAAGAGAAAAACATATATACTAATTTTTATTCATTTCAGTTTTAATACATCCCAAGAGGTGATGCAGTACACCTCAGTACATACACGTATGTATGTATTGCAATGATGATAATGACATTTCAGTTAAACAGTAATGCACTGGTTTTGAATAGCTGCCAGAGACCACATTAGCTTTGGAAAAAACTGTTATTTCCAAAACCAAGAAGAAAATATGCCTCTTATTTTGTTCATTAAGTTGGAAGTTTCAGAAAACAAAAAAATCTACTTTAAGGAAACTTCTGAAAAATTTTAGTGTTTCACCAGCAATGACTAAAATTGACACTAGGATTTTTATGGTAGAAGACACAATTTCTCAATGTACACACAATGTAATTATTTTTTGCAGTAGGCAAACAGAATTCTGTCATGTAAGTTTTTAAATGTTACCTTCTAATTCCATTTGAAATATTCTTCAAAGAAAAAGGATATTACCTTGTTGAAGGAAAAAGTTTCAAGATACTAATACCTAATATAATTTATATAGACAGCTTTTAATTAATGAGTAATCCAGTTTATTCTCTGCTTTGCTTTTTTGTGGAAACAGGTATGGCTAGATAGGAATGACAACACTATTAACTGAAATCCAGATTTAATAAAGTAATAGAATGTTTAAGGAAACAATTTAAAACTGGATCTCCACTTTTTCCTTTTTTTTTTCTTTTTTTGGTTACTGTGAATTATTTTTAATAGAAGATTTTTTTCAAATTCCCAAATGGGTGAAATACTTAGAAAGTCATTCTTACTAGTGTTGACTGTTCTAATCTTATTAAGAGTCTCAACAAGCAATACAAAGTTTAACAAAACAGCATAAAAATGAAGGACTCATTGAAAAATCATCTCCATTTCCTAGTTTAATGATGGAGAGCAAAGTATTGCACTTTATTATTCAACACAAAATAATGTAGCCAACAGTAACATACAGGTACACAATTTAATATTTATTATATGCATTTTATATACATTATTTTTCAACAGATGTACGTTTGCTATGTGGTACAATCTTAAAAATTTGCTGATTCATAGTTTGTAAAACAAAAACCTTACAAAACTCATCAAAACTCGCAAACTGATCAGAAAAGTTTTTGGAAGACTAGAAAAAATACTTTATTGTCTTAATCATGCATTACACAAACAAAATCTTTAGTTACACCATAAAATTAAGCACATCTGAAAAAATAAAACAGGGATAACTAGTCCAAACACAGCAAATTTCTGTATCCTGATTCAACTATTTTTGTATCCTATTTGTAATGCAAATAAAATTTTACTCCAAATATTTTTAAACAAGATAGTTTTTGTTTGGAATCATGGTAAACCAAGTTATGCATCTGGGGGAAATCACCTTGATTTGTAACTTAAACTATAAAATATTCCATTTTTAGTCTATTTTAGACTATTCAAAGAGTCCCAAAATAGATATACAGGTTTCTTTAGCACATTAATAAAAGGATATAAAGACCAACAAAAAGTGAAATAAATAATAGGCTATTAGCAAGATGGATAATCCTTGATAAATAAACTTGTAAATACAGTAAGATGTACAAAATATCACATAGTGATAGGATGCCAAGATTAGTTCGTTTTTTTTTCTTTTTAAAGAGTTCATCTGGAGTACTAAACCCCACTGTTTCATTTTAATACACTTAATAGTCCTTGGTTTATATGAAGACAATTATGTGATGATGAAGGTGATTTAGCATCTTTATGAAAGGACTTAGCTGAGCTGTATTAGGCAAAAGAAGGAAAAAGTGTGGTTACACGGCAGCGGGTCAGTGAGATCTCTGTGTTTTAGGGTTGTATAATGCAGAAAAACTTCAATACAATCTTGAGCACTGTTGTGACAGGCTAAATATATAAAAAGACTTATAAAAACTAGAATTTTATCCAAACATTTTGTGCAACTAATGCTAAAATATTTTAAGTTAAATTTTCTTTTTTTTTTTTTAAAGCAAAATAAGTTTAAAAGGGAATCTGTGGCATTCAACTGATAAACAGAAAATCACTAAGAGATGAAAAAAAGCTACTCTTGGAGCTCACTTCCCCCCCAACAAGAGCACCACATTCCTAACCCTAAGGCAGCACACAGAGTCCAAAATAAAAGTCTTTTGTGTAAGATCAGACTCCACATTGGCTTAAAGATACCTAAAAAACAGACATACGCTCAGTTCATATCCAGTACAGGCCACAATTAATGGAGTCCTTTTTATTTGTCCCACGAGATACAGTAATTACAATTAAATTAATGAGCCTGACATTAAGATGTGATTTCCATCAATTTATGCCTGCCTCAAATAGCCTTCACCAGGGCAGATCACACGTAGTGTCGTATCAGTAACCTTTCTGATGGCAGTGATGCAGACCCTCTTTCTGTTCAAGCAAATCTGTTGTTAAGATGTGAGTTTTTGTTGGTTCACACAAATACTTTGGCAAGGGCATCAGCCCCTGCACTGGCAATATATGCTTTTGATGGATGGAAAGCTACATCATAAATCGATTCATCTAATTTCTTCCTATGTGCTGTTATTTCTTGCACACATGTCTTGCTGTCCAAATTCCACAATCTAATAGAACAGTCATGGCCTGTAATAAAAGAACAAATAAAGTATATTATTGAGGAACAATTCTTTTAATAAAGCTGTGGCAGTATAGAAGTTTAGACTTACTTCCAGACATCAGATAGATTCCATTAGGATCTACTGCTAAACTTGTAACAGCATCCAAATGAGCTACCATAGAATGGATCATTTTACCTAAACAAAACATAACAGAAGATAAAGTTTTCACAAACAGTTAATACCTTGTGAGATCAGAAACCATAATATAGCATCAACATAAAATAGACAATCACTACAGCAATATATTTTTTACTGTGGTAAAATACACATAACATAAAATTTACCATTTTAACCATTTGGGAAGGTATCATTCAGTGGCTTTTAGAACATTCGCAGTGATATGCAACCATCACCATTATCCAGTTCAGAACATTTTCATCACTGCAAAAGGAAACCCGTACCCATTAAGCAGTCACTCCCTATTCTCCCCTCCCCCAAAGTCCCTGGTTCCCACTAATTTGCTTTCTTTCTCTTGTGATTTGGCCTATTCTGAATGTTTCATACAGTTGCAATCACACAATAACAAGTGGCTTTTTGTATCTGCCTTCTATCACTTAAAGGTTCCAACTTTTGCCCAGTATACAGGCTTACCTTGTTTTATTACGCTTCACAGATATTGCTGTTTTTTACCAACTGAAGATCTATGGCAACCCTGTGTTGGACAAATCTATTGGTGCCATTTTCCAATAGCACTTGCTCACTTTGTGTCTCTGTCACATTCTGGCAATTCTTGCAAAATTGCAAACCTTTTCAATTTTATTTTATTTGTTATAGTGATCTGGGAT